ACAGCGACAACGATGGAGCCGTGCCGTACGACGCGAGAAATTTGGTGTCCCGATCATGCCTGCCACTGTGTCGGCACGGCTGACATATTCTACACTGCCGCTTTGCGCTCTGCGTTTGTTTTCGTACCTGTAACGCCTACATGTGTCAGCGCCGATGGGACGAACTGAAATGCCATCCCACACTCGCGGGTATGCAGTGCCAATTTCGTTGGAGGAATGCCCTCCAAAGAAGTTTCGTCCCTATCGTACGTGTCGATGATATTTCCGGACAAATATGGCACGCAATCTGTACTTCACGAAGAAAGATTCGAACGGTAAAAAAAGTGACAAATATAAATCTAAAGAAAACAACCATGAAACTCGGAATCACTGGAGAATCGGCGTTTGAGTATGGAAGTTTATGTGGTGTGCTTTCTTTCTTGATCAGCCTCCTTTTGGATGTGGAAACACTGACACCCCGAGTTCTGTAGACAACAATTTTTTTTTTCTCGGCTTTAGAGCCACCTATCGCAAAGTGGTTCAAACTTGAAGTACCGTCCACTGGTCCCTTCCTACCTGTAAAGTGTGCACCTCCCATGATGAGTGGTATTTTCTGACAGCCTTTGACGGTCAAAGCCAGTTCCCATTTAGTTACGCCGCCCAAACTGAATTTCCACCTGGTTTCGCTATGCCAACTATTTTTGTTATAATAAGTGTTGCGCCAAGTGACGGTCATGTCAAAGTACCTGTGGGCCGAAAATCAGCACCTCGCACAACAGGTTATTACACAACAGCCGACCGCAAAAGCCCTTGGCGGCGAAACCGTGTGTTGGCCGACAACTTCGTTTTCTCGGCTTTGGAACCCCCTTTCGTAAAGTTGTTTCAATTGGAAGCACAATCCATTAGTCCCTTCCTACCTCTAAAGTCTCCACCTCCCACGACCAGTGGTATTCTCTTGACAGCCTTTTCATGGTCAAAACCGGTTCCCATTGAGTTACGCCGCCCAAACCAAATTTTCACCTTGTTTCCCTATGCCACCTTTTTTTTTTGTATAATAAGTGCTGTGTCATGTTACTGTCAAGTCCAAGCACCTGAGTGCCCAAATCTGCACTTTGCACAGCCCGCTATATACCGTAGAGCTTTATTTCTTTATTCTTTAGAAAGAACTTTCACACCTGCTGTCTCAATGAAACTTGGCACACTTCGTGCAGAAACTTAGTGAACATCTCACCCGCCTCTAATATCATCGTTCCAGCAGTCCTACGTTTACAGCGACGAGCGAAATAAATTTCCCACTCAAAGCAATTATGGTGGCGGCCGTCTTGCTTTTCGGAAAATTGCTCCAACTCCTTTTTTGGCCGCAACTAAGGAAATTACCCCTAATAACGACTAAAACGCAGTATATAAGAAGTGGAGAACAGCTAAATGCCCTTCTTAGGTCTGCCCCAGCATTCATGCAACGTCACCCTCGACGTATCGGCTCAAAAACCAAAAGTTTCGTCCGTGCGCGCTTCCGCCGCCACAGCTTGGCATGCGAAAAGGCGCCGCAGGCTGCTGAACACGCCTCACGGTCGAACGCCAGCTCCTCCGCTAGCGGCGCTGCGCGCGTTTTTCAAAGCGCCCCCTATAGTTCTCGCACGGAGTGTATAGACCGTTCCACAAGGGTCATGGCAGAGAGGGTAATAGAGAGAAAAAACTACCCTCCCCCTCTCACCCGTATGTAGTCTGCTCCGCGTTGTAAACAAGCAAAACGTCCGGGCCACTGCAATTCAGATACCCGGCGAAATCAGGGAACCCCTTTACCTGCCGATCACATTGAACGCCGAGAAGCTGGTGGAAAGGACTGCGCCTCGAGCCCTGGTATATCCAAACAATACAAGGAAACATCAACGGCCGGGTCATCGGGGACCTTGCAACGTGTACTTACAACTCGAAACTACGCCGAACAGGTGGAAAGCTCGGACACAGATGCCAGCGGCCAGCCTACGTACTGACATCCCCTGTGACTAAGTTTCAGAACGTGAAAGGACACTTTTTAAACCTGTAGCAGACGATATCGTTGATACACCCGTGGCAGACGAAATACTCGGCGAGCGCGGGCGGCGCGGCCGACCGGCGGCACAGCGGAGTGATACAAAAGTGCAGGCGATATCGCGTGACCTATTGCCGGCATGTGATTGGCTCCGGCCGCACGTAGCTTTGGCTGCGCTCTCTCTCGTTTTACTCCGCCGAACTTGGCCGAACCCGCCGAATTTCCCATGGGGGGGTCTCCCTCGTTTTACTCCGCCGAACCCGCCGAATTTCCCATGGGGGGGGGGGGGCGCTGCTGTCGAACAAAATGGTGCCACCCAGAGAGCGCTAAATGGAATGGTAAAGAGCTCTCAGGCCGCCGCCATTTTGCGAATCACGCGACCTGTATCAGCCAGAAATTTCTGCCACCTGCCCGAGCTGTGGAAACCCGGCCAGCGTGGCTCCCCACGGGTCCATATCACAAGAGCGAATGACATTTTAGCGAACGGCGACATTTGAGCGAATGGTCGTTTTAGCGAATAACGGGGGCGCGCGTTAACCCATCCGTCGCGCTGCGCTTTACGCCGCTTCGCGGCGACAGTCTACGGCAACTCATTACAAAAAGATGAACTCACTTGGCCCACCCGAAAACGCCGCTTCGCGGCGTCCGACTATTCGCTAAAGTGTCGTTCGATGAAACGTGGGCGTTCGCTAAAACGTCATTCGATCAAGTGAGCGCCTCCCGCTCCCCACCTGCATTGTACGTTCGGAGTTCGCCGGCTTTTCTTGGAAGTTTTTACTTTGTCTGTTTAGGATGCTTCCCCCTTGTGTGCCATCTTCCACTGTGAGAATCAGGGAATACCAGAGCATGTAACCTGGCCGACCTTCGCAGGAAACGAACGAAGAGAGCGAACGTCAAGCAGCACGCGACGCAGGCAGTTCAGCGTCCTTGGAGGATTATTTCCGTTGAGATAATTTCCAAAAAGCCTTCCTGGCCATGTTCCGGGTTTCGCAAAAAATACCTGATGGGGCCGGATCCGGGGTGTGGGGACAGAATAGACATATTCGTTCATTTGCTTTGCAGCTGTGCACAAAAGCAGATGTCTTCAAAACGACCCCCAAAACAAGCCGGATTCCGTCCGATCGTCGTGAAGTAACTATCGTCGACACTGTATATTGGATATGCTGTGCTACGGGAGACCTTTCTCAAATCCTGTTCGGATAATGCGGCACCGTGGGGTATGTACAATATATGTTTGATTGACAAGACTCGTTAAATTTAATGTTGTGGGCGGGGAATATCCATGCATTTCGGATATCCTGTCTGGTCAAAAATTTTCGACGGTTAAGACCTTTATTGATTGACACGGCCTGAGTGTATGGTGCCGTAAAAAGACCAACATAATATGAAACAAACATTCCAGTTGCATTTGTTTTGTCGCACACTGACTCACCAAAACAGCTTTAATTTCCTTGTTTTTATTCCCCAAAACAGTATAATGCATTCTTAAAACCCCGAGAAATTCCATTCGCCATAGAAAACAAACTAAAAAAATAGAACGCGGCAATTTAGCCTCCACCAACGTCCGAAAGTGCGCCTACGCAGGCTGCCACAGCCCGCCGACTAGAAAACCCGCTACTAGTCATATGGCGCGGCCCACGGCGGTTGCGCGAATCCGAGCGAATCTAAGGAGCCTTCATGTGCACTTTGCTAGGGTGATGCCACCCTTTGTAATGCCACTCGCCGACAAACCAGCAGCTATTTTGTTCCTCGGCGATAATCCGTGGGGCTTATAACCCTCCCGAAAACAAGCACCTTATCTCAGAAGTTCGGAGCAGCGTTGTGGAGCCCACGGAGGGAGGATTAGCATTTTCCCCCTCGGATGGGATTACCGATGGACACAAAGGCCACTTTCCAGCGCACGGGGAAACAACGAGAGAAACAAAATGGCGGTGGAAGAGGGTGCGGGAAAGGGAAATAGGCAGTTGGCATCACTCTATAAGAAGCGTACATGAAGGCACTCTAGGCGAATCTAATACGAGGTGGTGCCGTTCACACCTGCTGTGGCCCACCTGTCATCTATCGTAGAAAAGGGTTACCTGACCAGACACGAAATTTCAGGATTAGGCTCAAATGATCCCTTGCGAAAGTCGCGTGCCTATTGCGAGGTCAGAACCGCTGAGCAGTGACTGAACAACTGACACTGCGGAACGAGTCTGCAGAAAAGTCAAACAAGTCACTGACTTCATCTTTTCTGGAAGTGCAGTGTTCAAATCCAATCAAACACAGATGGTATGTCGCAGGGTTGGTTGGTGTTAGTTTGCAAGTCTTTGAGCCTTTGACTAGTGTAGGTTGCACAGCTTCAAACAGACGCTGGACCTTCAAACGAGATACTGTAAACACAGCTTTAGCTATGGGCCAGCACCTACGCGTTTATATATCGAAAATAGAAAAACCCGCAAGGCGCTTGTATTTTGAGATCTGGAATACTTCAGATTCGTTAACTCCACGAATGTGCCAAGCTCGTTCCGGGGCAGCCACCGTACCGGCAGAGCGAAGATAAGTGATCCTTACTTGTGTTCCTTCTGTGCAAGGTTCTTGAGACACCACAGGAGTATGACTCGATCTGGAATTCGACGAGTTGCACCTTGTCAAACTCTGTCCGAACACATCAGTCTTATAGCCAAGGACTACAGAAAAAGCGAGAAAGTGACGACGATCTTTGAGCAGCACATGACTGGAATGAATGACATGCAGACTACACACACATTCTCGGCTGCATTGTGCAACTGGACTTGCCACGACCTCTCGCTGATTCACGGCGGTGCAACATTGAGAGGGCCGAAAGAAACAGCAATATCAGTAACACTCGGGGCATGTTGCACAATCCCACACATATTTTTCCCGACTAGAGCACATCCCGCAACAGCCAGTGTGGGAAGGTATGTGCAACGGGGCGGAAGGCGATGCAACAAGATGGCAGGAAAATGAGCACTCTTCACGCGCAGGATCTGTTCGGCGAGTCTCCTCTCGAAGAAACTCTTTATTGGCAGTAAAAAAGTACAAAAGGGAGCGATAAATAAATTAAAATACACTTCCCGCACAAGAAGCCCGGTTGCATACATTGCATGACAATGGGCATGTGACAATAAATAATGTACAAGATGGTCAATGCGCACCCTTCCCCCCCTGAAAGACCAAAACGTCACAACCGTGTTTAGAGGACCCGCACGAGCTGCGCCAAGCGAGGCCGGACGGTGGCAGTGGTGTCGGGCAGAAGGTGGCGGGGAGCTAGAGGGAGGGCTGGAGGCGGCCCCCGCTGCCCCGGCTCCGCCGCTCCCGCATCTTCTGGTCCCGGGCCGCCTTCCACAGCACGAGCTCCATGCAGGCCCGGGCGTCCTCCAGGCTGTCGTGGGTGCCCTCCTGCACGTCCCGGTTCAGGTAGGCGCCAACGAGCGAGCGCAGCGACCGCCGGAAGGGCAGCCCTCGGTGGTGGGGGAAGAGCACCGCCGTGTCCACCACCGTGTCGTGAACCAGCTTCAGGCCCCGTAGATCGTTCTCCAGGCCGTGGCCCACCAGCACCGTCGAGGCCGTGAAGAGCCGCAGCAGCACTGCCTGGACGTCCTGCAGGGTCGTGCGCACGTTGCGTAGGTGCTCGGCCGTCACGCCGCTGAAGGCCGTGTTGTAGTCCAACACGGGGCTGCCCGGTCGCACGTAGGCGTCGTACACCGTGGCCCCGTCGGCCCCCACCACCGTCACCTTGGCCACCTCCAGGCCGCGGATCGTGAAGCACATTTCGCAGTCCAGCGCGTACACACCGCCCCCGCCGTGCGAGCGGGGCCGCGTGCGCACAAAGCCCCGCGCAGGCCCCTCCTCCCCCCGAGCCCCCTGGGCGCACACGTGGTAGTCCGAGCGCTCGCAGCCGGGCTCCTCGGCCGACGCCCCGCAGCAGCCGAACTCGGCACCCGTCCGCCGCCCCGAGTGGAAGACGCAGGCGTCGCTGGCGTAGTACTCCCCGCCGGCCGTGATCACGAAGGCGGCGCCGCAGCGGCAGCATGTGCGATGGCTGGCGTCGGCGCCGGGAGCGTCCACTTGGAACCAGACGGCGCGGCCAGGCTCGCCGGGGCAGGGCCGTGGGTAGCCGCAGCGGTGCAGTTCTTGCGGGGTCAGCGTGTAGCACAGCAGCTGGTGGTACAGGTCGTCGGGGCACAGGGGCAGGCGCCAGGCCCCTTCCAGGGGGCTCGGGGCGCCCAGGGGGGTCCCCGCCACGTTCTGCCAGTTAAGCCGCGGCACCTGGCAGCGGCCAGACCGGCCTTCCGGGGGGACAAAACAAGCGCGGCATCACTCGGGCTGCCCCCGCTGCGACGGCCCCCGGGGGACTGCGCTCAGACGCCACACGCTTGCACACACCTTCCCACACTGGCGAGGGGGCAGCAACGGCTAAGGGATCGGATGGGATTTGGGGCTGCTACACCGTCCGTTTCCCAGCAGCCATGCACCAAAGGCGCCAACCACATAAAGCCCAATGTTTGTTCGACCCATCACCACAATTTGAATCGAGGGAGAGTGGACACCAAACATACCACACTCCATTTCATCCTCATGTCAGGAACAAGAAAAAGCTAAACGCCAACGGAATCGACGAATGTCGACCGAGGCATGCAGAAAGCACTGCCTAAGACACTCACAAAATTCTGTCATGCACATCCCTCCAAGCTCTTTACGGCTAACTGGGGACGTAGCCAACTTACGATTAATCCAATGATAAAAGTGGATACAAGTGCCGAAGGACAGGGACAAAGTCTACTACGTCCTTGTCTTTACGCTGTTTTGTTTTTATCATGTCTACTTACCAACTAGCCCAAACTTCTATGTTAATCAAAGTGAAGAAGGTGACGACAAGATGGGGCGGTCCGTCTTGTCGCCACATTCACTTCAGCGCTTCTATCCAGTCATGAAACAACTACCCCCTTCAACATGTTGTCGAAGGATAAAGCTCGAGTCATGCCCAACATAAAAAAACAAAATTATATGTGGGGAGAACTTCGTAGTCTGGGCTTATTCTTTTGTTCGTGCCCCATTCTTTTGCATTTCAGTTTTCGTGTGCGGCCCATCCTTATTCTGGAGGTTAGGGTACACTGTGTAGCTTGGGACAGGAGGTGTTTTTGTATCTGTGAAGAGGGTACGGAGGTGTACGAAGACAATTTTTCTCAAATAAACTTCAAAGCTGTGTTTGAGACTTTGTTCTTTGGTCTATTTTTAGTATTCCTTCGTCTTGGGTTGACTATGGATGTGATTTATCAGTTAGCCTGCGTTTTTCCCCCACCTTCATAAAACTTAAATCCCGGATTGCAGGAATTGCAACGTCTTTCTTTTTTGGCAGACAAAGGCCGGGGAAGCATCTCCTCCACTTGACATTTAAAAAGATCAATGAAGGCCGGCGTCACTGTTCCAGCACAAGGACAGAGTAACTCTGCGCCAGAAATGATGCGCAAGCGCACCCTGCCACGTGTTCCATCGAGTTGTCGATGTGTCCGTCAGCTTCCGACGGCCGCTTCCGCGCATCCCCTCGCAAGCTTTAATCAGCAGGCACACATCCAACACCTCCAACCACGCAGCCCCTCTACTTTCGAGCTAAACATTTTTTTTGACATGGCCACCACCAATGAATTTTAGAAACAAGGCAGAAAAAAAGGGAAAGCGCAGCTTGCTGGGCTTACCATCAGCCGAAGTGGCCAGGAACTTGCCGTTGACATTGAAGTCCAGGTCTAGGATGTTGCCGCTGTGGCCCTTGAGGGTAGTCATCAGCCAAGGGTGCAGGTACTGAGTCTTGATGTCACGTTTCTTCTCTTGAACCTTTTTCCGTTTTGGCACCGCACGGTTCTCCTTCCGTGCCGTCTGCTTATCCGCTTCTGGGAGAAGAAAGAGAAAGACACCCAATCATTGCCACAGCCAAGCACACCTTCCCACGACCCAGGGTCAGAGGTCTCGGAAGCGTCTGGCCCTAGAATCATTTTTGTGCCCTTACCGAAACGTGACTACTGGTGCACCAGAGACGGCACCAGCTAAGTACTATGGCCTGATTGGCATCAAGGCTGCACCAATAAGATCAGCAAAATGGCAGAACCTCTAACAGGCTTGAGCTGAGCTAGTTGGTTCATACTTCAGGTAAGGCCAGCTGAACTAGAAAAAACATACACATAAAGAAAAGACCATTCACACCGCTGGACTAACCAAATGATTTTCTCTTTCTTCATCTTCTACTACGAGCCCCACTTGAGAGAACAATTCTCCTTTCCTCTTTTTTGCTTCCTAATTCACCATAAAATGTTTACTCCCGAAGAAATATTTTGTTTCTTTCTCGTGCAGCACGAGAGGAGGTGCACTAATGCAGTCATCGCCTTTTTCCTCAATGGCAAGTGCCTTTAGGATTTCACGTCCCAGTTTTGTCTCGTTTTTGCCACGATGTTTACGTCAAAGAACCGTGCCGAACATTGAGACGCACGGCAATGGGTAGGCAAATGTCCTCCTGCCGACAGGGTTCTCACTGATGCAGCGTGCTCCCTCGTCCAATCGTCAATGCATTGGCCGGTTTGTCCGATGTAACTTCGGCCGCATGTCAGCCGAACGTGGTACACCACCTCCTTTTCACACAGGGCGCATGGAGACTTGTGAACTGTGCCACACCTCTTCTCATTGTTACTTTGCTCCTGGTTAACCCTGCGACATATGAAATAGGCCTTGTTTGGAGCCGAACACAACACCCGAACGCCTTGCCGTCCAGCAACCTTTTTCAACTTGTGGCTCATCCCATGAACATAGGGTGCTACCACCACCGCATGTCGTGTCTTTCTTTTTCTTTGTGCTTTTATTCGAGAGAGAGAGAGAGAGAGAGAGAGAGAGAGAGGTGTTGAAAAGAAAGGAAGCCTGGAACTTATTAAATCGTGCACCCTAATCCGCGCTTGATGGTCCTGCACACCTGCTCGCAAATCGCCACCAGGAGCGATTTCGGATACCCAGCCTCCTGTAGTCTCCAGACCAGTTTTAAAACTTTGCTCGACTTGATGGCGACAGGTCTTCTTTAGGGCGGATATTTCTTTGGGGGTAAACATTTTATGGTGAATTAGGAAGCAAAAAAGAGGAAAAGAGAATTGTTCCCTCGAGTGGGGCTCGTAGTAGAAGAGGAAGAAAAACATAACCAGTTGTTAGTCCAGCGGTGCGAGTGGTCTTTTCTTTATGTGTATGTTTTTTTCCAGTTCAGCTGGCCTTACCTAAGGCAGAAGCTCATGGCTGTCCTTAATTTCAACTAGGCTGATGATGCATGTGTCCTAACTTATCTCAAGCATGAATTCGAGTTTCACGAAATGCGTGACAGTACTACCATTAACATAGATGATCTAAGGCACATGTTCAAAGAAATCGCGAATCATTGCATTATTCAGCTTGTCCCCAAAAAAAAAAAAATGTAAAGAGATAAGGAAGCATAACTCATGGATAACCCGCGAGATTATTCATCTGAAACGTCGAATCACACGGCTTCGAAAATCCTCTAAAAAGTATTGCATTACAGACTTCAGAACTACAGATTACAAAAGAAAGCTCGAGGAACAATCGAGTATGCTTAAATTAAAAATTAAAGAAGCTGTACAAAAGTACAATAATGAGACCTGTTAAATTCAGTCTGTAACATAAATACCAACAAAATGCTGGTTTATTGATCCTTGCTGAGTGCGCAAAACTGGGTAAACTAAAATTTATGCTCCTCTTTTGAACGACGCATTTAAAATTGCGAGAAACAAACATGTTAAGCTACAAGAAGTCACTAGACATAGCAACCCACTCGCTGAGTATTCTTTCCAGACTGCAAAGAACTTTATATGTTGTCAAAGCCAATACCATCACACGCGACTGTTACGCAATATGATCACAGTACTGGACTGGCTTGTAGCACTTGCTGAGGCTAAACCAAGTATAGAAGCCCGCTGCACAGCATTGCATGCATTCCCGCCGGAAGAGTAGAAGCGGCTGTCTGGCATCTACCCTAGTGGAAGCTAAGTCCAACCATCCACACCGAAAGTAATACCGACAGTCGACTATTGTGTAACTATCTATAGCAGACCGTCATATATCTATTAATGGTATTCTATTAGGTGACGAAGGACCTCCAGAGTTCATTTAGAAAATGTGAAGCTCCGAAAAAAAATGCTACTGCAATTGGGGACTTCCAGAAAAATTATTAAGGAACAACTTATAAGTAAACTATCGGAAAACTGTAGAAATTCTTTCTAGAAACTACTGAGAACCCACAACTGAGAAACTCAATTGCATACTACAGAAAAACTGCAAACTGCAAGGATAGTGAAATATTGATATCTTCCTTTATAGGTTGTCGCAGTTTTTCTGTTGTCTTGAGGTTGCTTTTCAGGAGTTTGCATTTTGTATTTTATAGGCAGAATTCAATCAGGAAAATTAAAATACTTTAGTCTCACCTGACAAGTAAACTGCGCATTGCATCGTGGGGTCATGAGTCATGACTTTACCAAGATGAAAAGCATGGAGTTTCTCTCGACCGAGCAGGTTGCGAGCAAGGAAGAACAAAGTTGTCTTCCCAACTCGCTAGCTTTTTCTTTTATTTTATACTAAAACAATGCTTAATTGCTGACAACATCGTACTTGGATCACGGCAAACTTTCGTTTTTATCTTCCATTTTTGATTCAGTTAGCGGTTATGCTCCCAAACTTACTGTAAATGAAGAATAAGAATCATTTGTGCAGAAAAGCATTGGTACCTAACCTTGTTGGGTTGGTATAAGCTTTATATCCGGTAATGGTCAGTTTGAAGTATCCAGAACCAAATTTTTTTTACATCTATAGGGAGTTTTATAAAGGGGTTCCCAACAAAGGGTATTTGCAAATATTGGGCTTGGACTCTTCTTCAAATCCATCTGCATTGTACAAATCATTTATTGTTTGGGTGTTTGAAGTCAAGACCAAAACAATACGATTGCAACCACTGATTCAAGACATATTAGTCATTTTACTTTCCACAAGTCTTTTTTACGTCTCCCTTGTAGCTCACTACTTGTTCCGCTTCTCGCAATTTAATTCAACTTTAAATTAAGGTGTCTGCAATGCACAGAACGATGACTGTCTATTAAAGGGTGATGTTTTCGAAGGTTAACACAGTCGTCTGTGTCTAATACGTGCCTACTAGTGCAGCGACCCTTATGGTTTTGTTCTGAAGCGGGCGATGCAGGGCGCCGCCATTCTTGTTTGCCCTAGGGGCCTCTCGAGCTGTGTTAGGCGCAAACGCTAACCCAAACATGGTTTTCGTTCGGCGTACGTAGTGGTGAGCCCCCATTTCTTAAAGGTCCCCCCTAATGTTGGGGTCCCCTATTCTAAAACTCCCTATTGACTACATGTGATTTCTTTATACATAACATGACAAGTCCAATATGGTCAAGTTGTATTTTATACCAAACAGCAAACCATTACCAGCCACCGTTATCAAAATCGGTACGAAATTTAATTAAACAAATAGTGACAACATATCACAGCAAACAAGCCTAACCGGTTTTGGCAACAGCTAGTTCCCGATTTCAGGGGATTAGCTTGAAATGGTCATCATTAAAAAAAAAAACTTATCTTCAGCAGAGTACCTTTGTCACCCGTCAAAGTTCAAGACTAGGAAAAGTAATATCTAACATTTTGATAATAAAAGAATCAAAAGCGTGAAACAAAATAGTGAAGAACTAGTGTGCTAAATTTCTTCAAAGTTGTCCACCTAGCTCCAAGAAAAGAAAAAAAATTTCCTCTTCTTATGATCGCAGGCGTATTAAAGTATCAGGGTGTCTAGCAAATTATCCTTTTGAAATTCCCTGACTTTTCCAGGTTTTGCCTGACAATTTCCGATAAAATTCCTGACCACTCTAGAGACTTAAATATATAAGACCATTAGAACACAAACCATTCAGCACAGTGAGGATCATTTTGCACGGGCCTAATCTAACTTGCATATTACGAAATATTCGAGTTTGTCCAGTCCGGATTAAACAAGCACTTTCTTGCCGCCACTGATCTCAATGACAATTGCTGGATTGCGCTTCTTGCTCCTGCAAGTGAAGCCACCGGACGGCCATCTTGCATGCAAGCACATTGCATTCGCAAAACACATTCACACGGCGTCGATTCTTGATCGGCATCCAAGCATGCGAAGGCACAGAGACACGGCACTTCGGGGCACTTCGGCGTACCAAGGAAACTTTGGACACGCGCCAGACCGGTGAAACTTGCTTTCGACGAGTTATGCCTTTTTCCTGCGACACTGCACTTTCGTAAAATTTTCCACGTGTTCACAACGGCAAGTCTCAATGGTACGCAGAGTCTTAAAAAACTTCTTCGGCGAATGACGACGAACGACTAAAAAATGTGTCTATAGCACGCTGGCAAACCACAGCAAAAGGCTAGCAAAACCGCAAATCGTATCCGAGCAAGATGGCCGTCCGGTGGCTTCACTCGCACTGCAGCGAACAAGCGGGGAAGCACGATCCAGCAATTGTCATTGAGATCAGTGCTTGCTACCGACATTGTCAGTGAAGAGGCCACTTCTGGTAACACAATGAAAACACGACGCTCAACCACGCACGTCAATAACCAAATGGCAACATGGCCACCAGATGCACTTTCAGCCTGAATTGGATTGGGGTCTGCAGCTTTCCCATTTGTTACTAAATCTAGTAGCTCTAATTGGATCTACGCTAATGTCGCTCTCTCAATCCAGTCCAATCCAATCCAAGGCTTGGACTGGATTTGTCGGTTGTTCTCTTTATATCGTGCAGCACACTATACCGGGTGAGCAGAGCCTGCGCTTTGCTCTAAGCAGATATAATTGCCTATATTTCTGCCCCCAAGT